GTGTGTGCGTGCGTGCGTGCGTGCGTGCGTGCGTGCGTGCGTGCGTGCGTGCGCACGCATTTTGTTTTGTGTGCATTTTGTTTTGTTTTATTATATCCTTCCTTTTCTATTGTTTTAATTAATTACGTACTTAACCGTAGATAATGCTGTTATACACTATTATAATTTTATTACTTCTATTACTTTTTCCGTATCGTTATAAGTTTGTTTTAATAGCCAATTTGTTACAATATGTTTACATTAATTTTTACTAAATTTAAAGATGTTTAATAATTTGTTTATCCTGTTATATACGATTCCACTGCGGAATTGGTAAAATCTCTGCGCAAATGAGGTCTTAACATTAACTGATTCACAGACTCGGAAGTGTCTTCTTGTGTTGCTGACGATAATTATTTTTTCATATAATAGAGAGCAATGTTTGCGCAAGACTATTTGTAATATATACAGCTGTCGTACGGTAAGCCTCTCTGCGTCTTCATAAAGTTTTATAGTAGGAAAAAGACGAGGTTTATGCAGCATTACCTTCAATATTAATCTTTGAGCTCTTTCTAGTGTTATCAATTTGGTTTTTGCACAGCCACCCCATGTACTAATACAGTAGGTTAAGACAGATCTTGCTAATGCATCGTATACTAATTTTATAGTTTTCTCGTCTGCGACATTTCGAAGTTGTTTAAAGATATAGACAAGTTTACATACCCTATGTGAAACAGAATCAATGTGCTTTTCAAATGTTAAATTTGCATCTATTATAACACCTAGATATTTTATGTGATGTGTTGTGTTAATTTTGGGGCAATTGCAATCTGATATTGGAGGAAAGTTACATTTGTGTGCGCAAATAGAGTAGATATTATTGTACATTTTAGCGCATTTATACATTGTAAAAATAATATATTTAGTTTTATCTTCATTTAAAGTAAGAGAATTACTCATAAGCCAATGAGATACTTTATTAAACCCACTCTGTGCGAGTTCAAATAGTTCTTCCCATGAGTCTGCAAAAAATGTGAGAGTGGTATCATCTGCATATGACGCTATTCTACTATATTAGACTATTACACTAGATTCTTTTAATAACAGCATAATATTGTTTTTCATATTGCAAACAACTTTCGTCACGTTGGCGAGTAATATGTTGTCAATACCAAGTTAATATTTTTATATAAGTAAATACACATATGTGAGCTATGTAGTCCCGGCATGGAATGGGCCATCTCTTTCTTTGCTATGGGTGTTAAAAGAGGCGAATAAGGGAACCTAACGCTCAAGGATGGGCAGCAGCGTACCTCTAAAAGTATCAACAAAGCATAACTGCGGTTGTCATCTTGCATGCCAAGTGTAGCAACTACTGACAAAACTATGAACTTACTATATTTGTCGTTTCCAACTATTATTTATATGTAGACATTGTTAAAAAAGTTAACATAAGATTTAAAAATAACCCAGAAAGAGTAGCAATAAATATCATATCGTCTGTCCGACTGTATAATACGAGTATAATATAACGTCAGAATTATAGAAAAATCCATTCACGTGGAATGATCACGTTGCCAGGCGATTGTCATCCGCAGACATACTTTGTGATGGGTTCATTGAAATATTACATTGATTGACGTCATGGACGATTGCATTTATTACGACCGAGTTTATAAAAAAAATACAATCTTTTACCATAAAAATGTTTTTTTTTATACAACTTAGAATGGCAAACAAGCTGACGACCCACCTGATGGAAAGTGGTAACCGTTGCCTATAGACATGAGCAGTACTATGGATATAACGGAGTGTATTGTTTTGCCCATGATACCCCCCATGCGTTGCCATTCCTGAGAACTCAGGTGTTATCCCTCTATACCCTGTAAATTCACGCCATATCCCATCCTTCAAACCGAAACACAACCATGCAAACACAACTGCTTCACGGTAGAAACAAAATGTATTGGAAAATAATACATATATAACTATTTTTATTCATATATGATTCAATTTTGAATATATATTTTAGAATTTTGATTATTAGTATATTAGTAACAAAATAGTTCAGATATTTTTAAACATTTGGTATAATCAAGAACATACTTATTATCCTGGTCAAGAAATATATCTTAAAAAATATAATATATGAACGAAGATACGACAGAACCATTATATACTATTACTGTAATCATAAATATCTTTAACTTTATAAAGTTCAGTTTTATATAAGCGCTTGCTTATATAGAACTGAACTGAAGCAACTGAAAACCTTTATTAAAATGTTATATTACTATACAAACCACTTGAATAACCTCTGTTATAACAAAGATAGTTTCTCTTCTATTTTATTTTAGATTGATTTATTTTACAACAGTTGTAATATCAACTAAGGTTCTTTGTGTTACGATTATATTAAACTCATGTTTTAATATTAGTAGATACCTAATATTTGTAAAAAAACGATTAGAGTACGATGTAGTTAGAAGTTATCACCCACAGCTTTGGTTTTAGCAATAGCACAAAAACTATAATCATTTTGGTCTATGAATTTAGATATTTCGTTGATCAATACTGTTAATTAGGTCACTAGTCTTCATTTTCACATTATTTATTCAATTTGCTTCAATTTTGAATACTATTTCATTTTACAATATTCATTTAAAAATACTAAGACTGTTAAATCATAGATAAATTATCTTTTTTGCTGTTATAAGACAAAAATATATTAGTTTGACTCCGTTCTACTAAAGTAATTAGTTTAGTTAAATTATTGTATTAATGTCGTTTAGTTACATAAAATACGTTACACAGATAAATTTTACATATTTATAAATTACACTAAGGTAAAATAGACGTACAAGTTCTAAAAATGATCTAAAACAAAGTAATCGTCAATTACAAATAATAATTACATAAGTGTAATTATTATTTTTAATATTATTATGTAAATACTATTATGCATCCATAGAAAATAATAGTCATTTTTGGTGTTACTTTATATGTAGCTATATATCAAATAGAAACTTATATTAAGCCGTCTCATCCACCTAGTAATAGCAGGCGAATATGCTCCTCTTATTGGGAAAGATTCGTACCCAACCGTGGAAGTCATTAAAAGTTATTTTGTTATGTATAAACAGTTATATAATATATAAAAAAAATGACCAGATAGCGTAAACCGTATAAATATAGGAAAAATCTTCTTACCCGAAATATGGACCTTACAGTATATCATTGTGTACATAAGAAGTACTAAATTGGCTAAATTATAAGTTTCCTGAAATCGCTGATAACTGAGTTATGTTTTCAAGTTTTTCGTTGATATTATAACATTATTTTAATTAATAATAATTTATTAATATTATCTTGACTATAAAACAATGGTTTTATTAAAGTTGGTAGTAGTTATAAAAATTCCCTTGTGATCCTGGCATAGAATAGTCCACCCCTTTCTTTCACGTCGGTGTCGTAAGAGGCGACTCAGGTAACTTGTTATTTATGGTTATAACAATTCTGGCCCCTCAAACATTAGATATACATCTTACGCTAGTTTTAACATAAATGATTCTCCCAAATATAACTATACTGAAATATAGATAAAATTCCACTATTTTCCCGCGGAAACCAATATCCTCCGATCTCAAACTTTCCTTATTGGACATTAATTCAACCATGAAAAATCCATTAATGTTAAACTATAGATAAAATAATAATATATTTTTCTGTTTCGATTGTTATAAGAGAAAGATAAAGAATAAAAAAACTGTCTTATATAAATAGAGGAATAAATTACGAGTATTTTAAATAATCCTTATATATTTAGCGACACACCTGTGAACCGTGATCATAACTAAAGGCTTCTATTGAGTTCAAAACAAATCGGGCATCTCCGAATTTAAAACGTGAGTAAAGCCAATATAAATAATCACAATACAATATGATTCATGACAGTTATTTTTCAACAAAAAAAAAATAATTGCAGAGTAATGAGCTGTTTATTATACTATTTTCTTGTTATTGTAACTTGTTACTACTTTAGACCCGTGGTTCAATTACATACTTTGTAGTTTCTATCTGGTTTCAAGAGTTGATTTTTCTGTCATTGAACTATTATAATTATTATAGTCTTATATTTTATTATCAATACATTTTGTTTGTAAGTTTGTGAAGATTTGTAAGCTGGTTTCAAAAAGAGATTTTTTTTATTTATCTCTATTTTTTGTGACTATATCACACGATTTGTGTCACTAAATCTTTTTTTTGCAATCCTTAATAATATCGGTAGCAATTTTGCGGTTTACTCCTGTATTAATTGATTATCGTTTTTCTTTGCATAAAAAAATGCTGGCTGTTAGGAAGTAAAATCTATTTGTATACATACACACACTTAAAATATTTTCAGTTTAAAGTGTCTCAGAAATATCCATACTTTTATGTCTTTGTTCAATTTAAATCACTGTTATTGTTGGGTAAAATATATTATTAAGAATTGCAGTATTTTTTTTTATGTAACTTAGAATGGCAAACCCTTCAGGTATTGCCATTTCTGCGAACTAAAGTGTTATGCCTCTGTACCCTGTAATTTTATTGTCATATTCTACTCTTAAACACAGACATGCAACTATAACTGTTTCAAAGCATAAATACGAGTGGGACAAAGGTACCCAAACAGACGACTTCTGTTTGTACACAGTTCCCCTTTCTCCCTCCTTTTTATAACTCTTTTATTGAATATTTAAAAAATGAATGAGTGTTTATTTATTAGAGAAACAAAGACTCATAAACAATAAATAGCTAAATTAATTAAATTAAAATTTGGTATACACATCTCTCTCAAATATATTTACTTTTCATCATAGTTTAAGCGAGCAAAGTCACGAAAATATTATATTGTCTATTATACGTCAATTATCAATCCATACTATTAAACTTTAAGTATAATAGGTATAAATCGTAAGTCATAAATTAGATAAAGAAATGAACATGAGATGCCCTACATCAGGTAGAAAAGGTGAATGAATTATAAACAACAATTCTTATATAAATAGTTCTTTCTATTGAGGAATTATTCAGTTGTTGTAGAGACAGTAGACTGTATCATGAGGGCTGCAGTTTTGGTGTTGGCGCTAAGCGCCTTAGCCACGGCTAGTTCTGACGTGGATGAGGTATTAGGTAAGAAATAATGCATAAATCAATATAAATAACATCATTTTTGAAGTGATTTTGAAATAGTGAATTTTTTCGGACTATTCTACTACTCTATGGAGTAGTAGAATAAAAAAGGCCTTTACAGCTTCATCGGACACAATAAATGAATGTTCTCTATTTTTTGTAATATATAATTACGAAAAGCAACATTTTCGACAATCGGATTTTAATGATTCTTTTTGTAATCAATAGTATATGACTATTTAGTCCCTTTTTTACGGGACACACATAATAATTTGTTATTACCCCGTGATTTTGTTGTTTCATTCCATCCTTCAAACCGTAACAGCCAAACAAGCAAAATTATTTGACAGCAAAAATACAGGGCCAAAGTACCCATGCAGTGCAGACGGAATTCTCTAGTAAGGAGATATACACTGTTCCTTTTTAATAAATTGATGGTTCTAACAATTATATCATTTTTAGGTGCTATGGATATCAAACAGAGGCAAGTTGTGATTCTAAAGTTACTGAACCAAGTAACTGAACCGGTGATGTACAAGGAAATTCAAGACATTGGCATGAACTTTAAATTAGAAGAGAATATTGCATTATTTACAGTAAGTAATTAGTTTAAATCAGTTATTAATTATTCGTCATATTTGTTAAAGTAGAGAATTTTAACAATGTCAAATAGGAGCGTGTATCTACAGGAGTAGGTATATATGTTAAGTGTTTCCTTGATTTAAATATATTATTATGAACCAATTCATCTGTAGGTAGAGGTAACTAAGAATACTTTAAACTTCTTGAATATAAATTAATTATAAAATAATAATCGTCTAACAAGTTATTGTTGTTTTGTCTTTATTTCAGAAATCTGAAGTTGTTAAACGTTTAATCGGCTTAGTGAGAGTGGGCCCATTACCACGTGGTGAAATTTTCACACTACATGTTCCACGTCAAATGGAGGAAGTAATTTCCATGTTCCACGTCTTATATTATGCCAAGGACTTTACCACTTTCGTCAAAGCAGCATGTTGGATGCGCTTGAACCTCAATGAAGGCATGTTTGTCTATGCTCTAACTATTGCAGTCAGACACCGTCCCGACTGCAGGGGCATCATTTTACCCCCACCGTATGAGATCTATCCTTACTTCTTTGTCCGTGGAGATGTGATTCAGAAATCTTACTTGCTTAAAATGAAAAAAGGTCTTCTAGATTATAAGCTCTGTGACCACTACGGCATTAAAAAGACTGACAAAGATATCTACATAGTGGATGAAAATATATATGATTCACGGGTCTTCCTGAATATTGAAGATAAACTTAGATACTTTACCGAAGACATAGACCTAAACACCTACTACTACTATTTTCATGTAGACTATCCATTCTGGATGAATGACGAAGTCATAAACAAAGTCAATAAAGTCAGACGTTTCGAACTCACTGTATACATGTACCAACAAATACTTGCGAGGTATAATCTTGAACGTCTTTCCAATGAATTACCTGAAGTGCAACCATTATCATTGCGCAAACCTATTGAAAAGGGATACTGGCCATGGTTAATGTTGCATAATGGTATCGAAATGCCCGTAAGGTTGAACAATCTTGTTGTAGCAACTGAGGATAATGTCGACAATTTGCTTTTAGTTGAAACTTACGAATCAATGATTAAAGAAGCCATCATCAAAGGATATGTCACTGTAAGTATTAAATATTTGATTAATAACCTATAAAAATATATATACTAAACATGTTAATATATATACATTTTTCTAACAGATTGATGGTGTCCAACTGGAGCTTACTAAACCAAACGACATCGAAACTCTTGGTAGACTAATCTATAGTAATATGAATACACTAGGACGGGACGTGATGAATCCAAATACGATGGTTTATGAATCTTATCGTTATTTACTTATAATTATGAAGTCAGTCTTAGGCCTAAATACTCTGATTCCTGACAGGTGAGTAAGCTCTTTTATCTATTATTGTTTGTACATATTTCATTTCGTTTTGTTTATACCTATTATATACTTGTAACTCCTTCCAACAACTTCTCTCATATGAACCCGGTGTCTTCTAGATAACATTGGTATATACTATTAAAGAAATTCAATAAAAATTTACATTGATAATACTAGTACTCGTATATACTTTATTATTTTACTTAATATACATATCCAGTCTATTAAACTTAAGACCTAATTAAGATTTACTTCTGCAATGATTTTTTTAAATACTTTATAGACATTATACAGGTAGTTTTTAAATTAAAATAATTGGCTTTACCACCATTGAGCTGTCGACTTCATAAAACTATTTTAGTCAGTCCTACTAGTTCTACTAGCAGATTAGAACGAACATTTCAGTGTGTTCTACTAGTAGAACTAAGTCGTAGAACTATGCATATACAATGAAAAATGCAACCAAGTTGAGAACCTAGTCCTTTTTGAAGGCAGTTGGATATTATTTAGAGCTATTTGTGTCTAAGAATATTTCATTCATAAAAATAAATATAAACATTTTATTATTTCAGATTATTTGTGACGACCACAGTATTAGATCATTACGAGACTGCTCTTCGAGATCCAATATTTTACCAATTGCAGAAACGTCTCCTTGACATTGTACTTTTATATAAACTACGTTTACCTAGTTATACAAAAGAAGAACTCGGCTTTCCTGGAGTGAAAATTGATAATGTTGTTGTAGATAAACTTGTAACACACTTTGATGATTACTTTATGGATGTTACAAATGTTGTGACACTAACGGAGGAGGAACTTAAAAAAGCCGCATCCGATATGAAACTTATGGTTCGCAAGCGACGCCTCAACCATCAGCCCTTCAAAGTCAGTATTGATGTCGTTTCTGACAAGACAACTGATTGTGTTATCAGGATATTCTTAGGTCCTAAATTTGATAGTTTAGGTCGAATGATAGACATAAACAAGAATCGTCTTAACTTTGTTGAAATCGACAGTTTTCTTTACAAACTAATGACTGGAAAGAATACAATAGTAAGAAACTCAGCAGATATGCATAATTTAGTGAGAGACCGCATAATGACACATGATATCTGGAAGAAGATTGAAACAATTACTGACTATAAAGATGTTATGGTTAAGGATTTAAGAAATTTCCACACAGGGTATCCATCTAGACTGCTTCTTCCTAAAGGTCGAATTGGTGGTATGGAGTTTTTGCTGTATGTAATCGTTAGTCCTTTAAAGATGATAGATAACATTGACGTAAACGTACTTGATATCAACCGCAAAGATCTTGGCGTTGACTTTAGGTCAACTGTTCTTTTAGACAAGATGCCTCTTGGTTATCCATTTGATCGTCCTATAGTACCGGTCATGTTCTTCACTTCTAACATGAAATTTGTAGATGTAATGATCTTTCACAAAAAACAGGTATCTGATATGAAAACGCGGTGGGAACGATGGGTATTAAGGGACTATATGTTGGAAAGGACACCAGTAAATACGGACACTTATTTCGTAGATACTGATGTCAATATGAAAGTCATTAATCAGGACATGAATTTGGTTGATTTATTGTAATAAATTTTATAACGGTACAAATTTAAATGAAAATAATTGAATGTAAATAATAAAATATTCAGTTTTTAATACTGGTGAGGGATTTTATTTTTCCTTATAAGAGTATACCTAATGTAAATATAAATCACAAAATAATATCAAAATTTTATGTTTCTACGTTAATTCCAGATATCAAACTATAAAAATGATTAGAACAATATTTTTTTTAACAGCTGTACGGTTTTGGATGTTTCCTTTTCAGCCTATCTTTAAGATGAGCTGAGAAGGAATGGAAAAGAATCTGTTACTCTTATTTTAATCTCGAAAAATGTTATTTTTGTTTTAGCTAGGAATGTGTACTCATTTGATTATTATATTATATATATATATATATATATATATATATATATATATATATATATATATATATATATATATATATATATATATGTATATTTATATATATATATATGTCAAAGCCTACCAAAATCTCAAATTACTATATTCCATCCAAAGAGATTGCCTAATAGAGATTGATTTTACTAAGAAAGCTATACATTGTGCTTCTATTTTGTTACATATTTTTTAATTAGACCCATTAAAATATTATAGGAAGTTGATAATAAATAGTGTTTAATTTTTATTTTTGTTACACCACTGATGTGACAAACAAGCATACGTAATACGCATAGTAAGCAGTGACCATAGCCTATGAACGCCTGCAATACCAGGGGCATTACGTGATTTGCCGACCATGAAGAAACTTCATTACCCTTTTTTTGAAGAACCCTATGCCGTACTTTCTTAGAAAAACGTTGACAAATTTAGTCAATAGAGTTATTTATTTAAACAACTTTATTGACCCACAGAAAATATGGTACAAACCTTAATGCTAGTAGCATTTTATACCAGTCTACCTTTGGGATGAACAGTGAATCACGTACGTGGTACTTAATTATTGGGATATGCAAAGAAAATAATAGTTAATAATATGTATATTATAAATAATATATACATAAATAAGATATATTTATATTTATGTACGTATATTATAATAATGATTATAATATACGTACATAAATATAAAATAATATATATGTATTAATTATAGTAATATTATTATTGAAAAATAAAATTAAATGAATATTTCTCTTAGAGATCTTTATGAATAACTAAAATAAAAATAATTGCATTACTATAATAACCATAAAGATTTTAATAAAATTTCAACAGAAAAACAAAACAAAAATCAATTTAACTTGTTTTCCCTTAATTAATTGTAAGATCCACTTTGTTTCTTTTTTCTTTCAAAGACATTCGACGTAACGTATTTTTGTAACCTAATTTAAGCTAATTAATCTCCATAATATTATTTATTGAGTGAACAGTAAAAAAGTAATGTAATTTGTACCTATATAAAATTTTATATTTGTAGCTTAATTGTGACCCAGTTCAGTTAATCGATTTATAGACTAAAAAGGTCGCGATTTCCAGCATCAAAGTCTTAGTGTGTCAATTTAAATTTCAAACTAACTCTCTGATGACAGAATGATTAAAAACAAAATTAATTGAGAGAGATGACGGCAAGCTTGCCCCTGCTCATAACCTATTTCTCAAGTTTCAAATACTCTATGAAATACAAGTAAATCTTATTCTAACCACCATAACGGACGTCGTCAATTAATGTTTCTATTACATATGCTAATAATAATAATAATCTCGGATGAAATACTTTTCCATGATTGCATATTTCGATTAGTATGTATACACATTTTTATTAAGGCTAATTTATATATGTATATTATTCGATTACAAATTAATATTTATAATGTACTTTTAAATCGATTTAATGTCCATAAAAAACATTCTAGTATTACTTACTGTTACACTTATTTAATGGACTGTAATATGAGGGCTGCATCGTCTCCCCTTATGGTAAAGGCTTAAGTTCAGCAGTGGACAGTTAACCGCTGACATGATTTTCAGTACTAGTATTACGCATCTTGACTACTGTACTAGTACAGTATTACATTGTTGACTTCAAAAAGGAGTAGATTCTCAATTTCATTACTTTTTTTTATCTATGGATATTAAAAAATTGTATACTGGACAACATACAAATTTGCATACATACGTTGATAGTGAGTCGTCTATAGTTTCTTTTTTTTTATTTTCAACTTACCATAAAACATATCTGTTAATTAATTTACTTCTCCTGTTCTATAAAATGTTTAATTACAGATCTGAAAGTGAGGTTGTATGTCTTGTTGTTGTAATCAATCGTTATGATATACAACATAAACTTAGTATTTTACATAGAAGAGGAGATACTCGTACTTCTTTTTGTTCCAGTCATACGGAGATTATCACAAACAAAATTATTATAATAATAAGCAAATACGATTACTACTGAGTTCATTATTTTTTGCTTTTCATTTCTACAGTATTATATATATCAAGTGAAATGTTTTTCCAAATAGTGATTTTCTAATCATAAGGTTCTGTAAAATTATAAATAGCTGCAGAAAGCTATTTATAATTTTAGAGAGAGAATTATAGATAGCAGCACGCCTACTCTTGAATATAATATCGATATCAGTCTAATGTCAATGACAATTTTATAATACACTTATGAAATAACGATTAGGAATTAAATTAAAATTGGGATCGATTTACATTGCATTGACAAGTCGCGTAGGTCCCGACACAGAATAGACTACCTCTTCCTTTCCCGTGGGTGTCGTAAGAGGAAACTAAAGGAGCTTATGATGGTGGGCAACAGTGTCCCTCTTTAAACATCACCAAAAGCCAAACTGTGTTTACCAACCCGACTGCCAAGCATGGCAACTATTGGCAAAACCCCCCTTATGGGGGAGGCCATGTTCAGCAGTGGGCAGTTAACGGCTGATACAACAATAAAAACTAATAAACAACTATCAGAACAATATAGAACTATTATATCGCGAGCTTTGCAATTCAAAAGTGTAGAACGTTCCGAATTTATTTCAAGAGTAACCCCACTTGTCGATATAAATTTTAACAATCCAAATAGTTTTGACAAAAATGTCTATAAATTTATAGAATGAGTCATGTTGGAGGATCTGCATATGGTGGCTTTAGTTGTTAAGCATTTAATAATAGTTGTATGCTGTATAACTTTTATTTTCCTCTCCTCTATTAATATATACTGTGTTTGCCTCCAAAAAATTGTTACTCTTAGTTTTAAGCTTCAAGATCGTATAAATACTTACACAATTTTTTGGGAACAATTATTGGTAAACCTAAATAAATAAATTTAAAAAAAGTGAAAAGGCTCACTATAAAATAAGTTTACATTTTATCATCAAGTAATAGTTCTTTACAGCTAATTAATAAACAGGACCTTTATTTTATAAGTCCGCTTTCATTAAAAACTGCATAACATTTTTAAATGTACAATCAGACAAACATAATAATTAATAGTCGATTAAGAGGGGATTAGAACAAACAATGGAAGTTTCTACCAACACACATAGAGGCAAAGAGCACTTAACAAGTTTCGGAATAGTTCAGAACCTCAAGTTTAGATAGTGGGACATGTCATCTATATTACGACGTATTCATGCACAAACGGAACATTTTTTTTATATCCATATTTTGGTGCTATAAAAGAAACAAATATCTGAAAGAAATTTCTATCTTTGACGGAAATTAGCAGCGAACTTCAGAATTAGGTGAACACAATAGAACTTAAGGTCACATCACAAGGTTACAGTGCTACAAGTCTAGACAGCTAGAAATAGCAAACCCAATCAATTGTCCAAATAATAAAGTGAATAAAAATAATAAGTCTACTCGGAATAGGGAGAAGGTTATTCTAATGTAAGCGGACTTACAAAATACAGTAATATTATTTCAATTAGGTAAATATGAACAAAATTTTTCTATAAACAGTTTTTAATTTAGGTCAACGAAAAAGTTTTTCTTTAGAATATATTTGAATATTTTACACAGCGAAATAGAGAATACATCATTATTTTCATACAAAGGTAGGTTTATTTTAATACTGATCCATGAATAACAGGCAGCAACTTTAATGCTATTAAAAAGCAAAGCAATTTGCTATTAAATTATAGTAGTTTTGCTATCCGACGTTAGATGGCGTATAATATAATTATTTAATTTTCTGAAAATATCGACACTACATTTTCTACGTTCATATATTTTAGAAAGAATTACCAATAATAAGAATGTTTTTGTACCTACTAATTTCTTAACCTCTCTACCCACTTTTTTGGAGAAAAAGGATAGTAATGGGAACACTAATCCCTATTACTAGCAATATACTACAATAATTTATAGCGCTGTCAGATCAACCTCCACACGTTTATCCCTGGAAACTATAGTGTTTAATTACATATTGAATACATCACGATGGAATAACTGGCCTACATCCATCTATACCTATCATCCTTCACTGGTGCTCCGTCAGCGATATTCATACTACAGATAGGATTACCATTGTATAATCGCCTCTTAACTTACTTTTATTATCTTTATATATGTTCTTTATAAGCTGTTTATCACACTAATTATTTTAATACACTCTATTCTGTCGTATTTGCCTGTTGAAGTCCCATTGCTGACTACGGCTCTTTTGTTATAAGAGTAAGATAGCTTAAATGGTATACGTCGCCAGTGAGAGATGATAGATGATGAAAACAGGTCAATTGGTCCGTCGTAACAAATTCAACAAGAATTACCTACGATAGTTGCCAGCGTGATAGGAATCGCGTGGAATTCAATCAAAATTGCTAGAAATAGGAATCCATTACTAATAATCCCTTAAGAAAACCTGAACATGTAATGGGACTAAAACATTGTAAGTACCTTTACTGCCACCAGATAATTTATTAAATTAAAAAGAAAGACTTGATTTTTGGCTTCTAATGGATAAACAAAATACTTTACTGATTGTATGATATTTTTTGCTATAAAAAGCCACATTTTCAGCAAAAAACATGGTCCATATTTTATTTTTAAATAATTACTAACTTTGGTAACTTTTCTATCGAACTAACCTTTTAGATAATAAAAAAATCCATATCAATTC